ATTTCATACAGATGCAGTCATGGTAAGAGAGTGCCCCATCGCGAATGTTATGCTTTTTTAAAAAATGTTTTAGGGCTTTTAATTGACTTTTGGCAAACTGGTTTTGGTAAACTGGGATTCATTGTTTTTTGAATAGGCAAACTGGCGTTCGACAAACTGGGTTTCGGCAAAGTGGACTCGGCAATCTGGCATTTGGCGGACTGTGTTGGCATAGATCCGGTGCACTACCCACCACATAAAAGTCGATGAAACTTTACTGTCGCAAAATGTGTGTGGTATAATACTTTGGTTCTTTTCTACGCGACCTTTTAATTGGATGTTTAACACTCTTACCTCATACAGTTTGTCATTACTAATCCATTTGGGATATTTTACATTTATAAAGGTTCTTAAGTGGGACCTACGACAAGTATCAATTTCCCTCATGAGATTTAAAAGCAGACCAGCTATTACAAATGTATAATAACATAGACACCACTAAAACATCATGTAATTAAAGTTTTAGATCCATAGAAATATTTTTCTACGTGTGGTGTATGTGTGAGTATATTTAACAAACCTTAATTTATTTTGTTTGATGTTTTGTATTTTTGTTCCGCATAAATTGTAAATTCAGATCCTTTTTAACATTTTTATGTTGCCTTCTGAGTGTTTTTATACCAATAAATTAAAATGAAATAAATCCTGGTTTCCTTAAAATCGTTACAATGTCTCTACAGTGTGCAATCGTTTTACGTATACGTAGCAGTCCCCGACGCAATCGGATAGGCTCCCCGATTTGACCGATTAATCAGCATTACCGAAAGCTCTCGGCGACAGCGTGTAGCAATTGTATGGAAACCAAGCTTAAATGTGAATATGACATGTAACTTTATTTTCATAATATTCAGATTTAAATTGGACGGACATTCTAGAATGCTTAAATTTTAAAGGCAACGACGGTAAGATTAGTATCTTGTAACAAAACATGCATTCTAATCATACTTTTGTATACTTTATCGACTTTGTTAATGGGAAAAATATTCACGTATACCTAATGTAAATTAAATTATATTCAAGCTTACGTCTTAAATACAAGGTTTTGAATATATAAGTTTAAATTTAAATGCTATACTGGTCTATTGCCAACCATAGATGTGGTAGGCATACTATGAGCTGTAACTTATCTTTAATAGAGAAAATATATACCTCCATATTTCGTTATTTACAGTGGTCTCATCCATAATATAATATGCCATTAACAAATAAATTATATAGTATTGACCTATTTATATAGGGCCTATTCGACCTGGAGTTTTATCAATATTGGCATATTAATATTAACGCTTTTAACGCTTAGCATATATACTCGTTTGTTAATTTAATCAAGGAATTAATTCCGTTTTATGCAATAAAGTAAATTTAGTAAAAACTTTTATAAGATAATCATATGATGGTGAAAATTTGATACGTTAAGCATGTGTATTTATATTTGCAGTGGACCAACAATCTGACATGGGATGTTATGTTGGTAAGTTACTCATTACTGGACATACGACTAACATAAATTGTTTTTAGAATAAAGTTAATATACATCAACACACACATATCAGCACACACATACCCA